CTCTAATATTAAAAGCATAGAATATAGAAATGTAATTTGAAATGCATATTTTTGGGCTTCCTGCATGCTTTAAACGTATGTGTTTGATTGTTGCAATTATTATTGTCATTATAAAAAATATAACGATGATGGTTCCTGAAAGAAAATATACATTTTGATTATACTGATGATAATGTGATTATAATTGATTTTATTATCGTGATCTCATCACTGATGCTGGTCTGATTCCTCAGAAGACACACCTGCTCAGATCTGCCCCTTTCTAGTTAACACTCCACCCGTACCTATCTATATATAACCAGCCTTCAGACCAGACATCAGTGCCAGATTATTTCCAGCCATTGGTGAGATTTATTCCAGCGTTCTGTTCCTGACTTCCTGCCGTCCTGTTTGCCTGACCTGCTCTGCCTCTTGGTACCCGAGCCTGACTGACCCCTGCCTGATCTGTAAGCCTGCCTGTTACCGGATCTGTGCCCCGACTCTGGATTGGATTTCCCCCTGGTTCTCCTCTGACCCCGGATCACCCGGCTCTGACCTTGGATCTCATCTCTGACTATGGATTCTTCAAATGTCATTTTTCTGTTCTGGCTGAATTCTGGGTCCTTACTCTCTGAGCATAACATTTATAATTATCATTTTCTTGTTTTTTGTGATATATAAATAAGGATGTGTATATATTATTTGGATATTTATGGTTAATGTATATAAAGAGGGGTGGAATATTTGTAACAGTGGAGTATTTGCTTCTTTCCCCTCCCAGTGGATGTCATTTTTTATCATATATTCTGTTCATCTTTGATTTGTTGTTTTATACATACATATGCATCTGTACATAAATATAAATTCATCCTTTTTTAATTGCCTTATGCTCAAATACACATTTCCAATCAATCAATCAAATGCAGTATTTGCCAGCAATTTTTTTATTTAATGTATAACTGGGATGTTTTTTTTTTTTCCCATAAGACTCAATAATTAATATTAATGTTAATTAGAGAAATCCATAGAAGACGCCAGTTAGTTCTGTCAGTACTTTGAAGACAAACATTATTCCTGAGAGGAAACGTTGCCTTACCTTTCATGGAAAAAGAAATGCAGTAAAATAGGCTGTTCCTGCCGCTGCACCATTCAGTCCAACAGTTCATACTTTTTATCATGAATCCAAATGTAGATTTATATCCGCTAATATGATGATAGGAGGATGAGTGTGCAGAGCCTGGGATGATATTATTTTCTCCATTTTGCTTGTGTGTTTTTCTTCTTTATATCTCTGCCACTGGTAATAACATCATGTTTTTCTCAGTATCATTTCATATTCAGATGATGCATATATAATAGCCGTCTTTGATAAGAACACATTAAGCAAAGTACCTAATGTTCTTTCATTTCTCTCTGCAGCATGTTGCTCTAATTCCTAATGATTAAAAAAGCGCCATCTTTTCTTATAAACCTCCTGAGAGGATTTTATTGATTCAAAAGGACAAGTAAAAAAAAAAAAAACTGTCTGTTGAAGCTTTTAAAAAATAAAATGGAAGCAGCCACCTGCTAGCCAGACCACAGAACCACTTTCCAAACCCATATTCTGAAAAACCAAAACACTAAATTCCGATTTGTGTGAAGCTGCAGCGATGCCTCTAGACACAGAGACGCAGACTTCACATCGCAAGGTCACCCGCTGTTTGAACAACTTAATGATGCGCACCTGTTGTGAACGTCTATGCTGGGTTAAATATCAGCATTCAGGAAAAGCACACAATGATAATGTTGGGAAAATGACAGGGGGACAAGGCAACCTCTCCACAGCAGAGACACCATCTGTTCAATATTTAAACACCATCAGGCTCTCTGGCTTTTATTTTCCTCCCATTGGCCATGATTTCAACAGATATGAGTAAAAGAGAGCATTTACGCTACAGTTCTCTCATTCATGAATTCACTTGTCTCAAAGTGGTGCGATAAATAAAACCATAAAAAAAAACATTAAAAAAAATTTTGTAATGCCAATGAAAAGACAAAGATGCCTGATCTCCACTAAACATGGAGGAAACAAGAAACACAGAATGATGGTGAAGATTCTCAGTCATCCAAGTCATAGTCGGTCCAAAAAAAGTTAAAATCAATCCTCTAGACTTTGTTTTCTAAGTTTTAAGACGTTTCTCTTCCATCCAGGAAGATTTTTCAATTCAAAATGTCAGAAATAGCGTTTAGTTCCAGGTTTTATCCAGCAGCCCAACAAAGCCTGGTTTTAGTTTAGAAAACATGCAAATAGAAACGGATGAACGGGTCCCCCCCTTTGGAATGGGGGTCGTTTGGCTTCTTTGTTAGCCTGCAATGCCCCATACCTGTCTATGTCTCTGAAAGGGGGGTCGTTAGAGGGAATAGTTGGCTTGGCTGAACAGGGCGGTTGTTAGGGTTACAATTATAAAATGAATGTGTGTGCAAATGAAACATTGAAGAAATAAGATGCTACATTTCTGTCCTGTGATTCAATCAGGAGGGTCATAAACTTTTATGACCTGCATCCAGTAGGTCATGAGGCAGAGTCACACTGTTGTGTGACTTCCATCCAGCCAGATGGTCATTTCAGGGTCATTTCCTTTATGACCTGCCTCCGGCCAGTAGGTCATAAGGCAGAGTCACACTGTCTTATGACCTGCATCCTGCCAGATAATCATTACAGGGTTTTCTGTTTAAGACCTGCCCTACTATGTTGTAAACTGTTAATAAAAGGCTCTGCTGTGAAGGGAACTGTGAGAAAAGGTGCTGGTTGTGAGCCAGCAGTTCTTCTCCCCTGTGCAAAGGCTGACGTTGCAAATCCCTGTCTGTGTTTGATCATTTCGTCTTCTTAAACTCTTAAACTCACATTTCTCTGGATTTAAACCCAACAGAGCTGCTCTGCTCCCCTGCATGGGGCTGGGGGCTGCGATGATAGCGTGAAGGAATCAACTCTATCGCTGCATTGTAGGTTTTTAAAAACTCAAATCTGAGTCCCCCACCCCTCCACCCCTCTGTTTAAGGTTGGTTTTTCTTTCTTAACATAGCTTCCTTCACTCTCCTCTCTAACCACCTGTCTTCTTTGTCCAAAACGTGAACATTCTGCTCCTCCAAAGAATGTCCTTTGTCCATCAGGTGTAGATGTAGCGCAGAGTCTT